GTACAAGTTTACATAATGCGAGACACTACAAAATAACTATGTACGTCTGTTGTAGCTGTGAGATGATAGAGTATCGTATATATATTTATATTTAAATATATTTATATATAATTTTTTTATATGTATATATATTTATATATATATATAGAATTCATTTTTTTTATTTATAATCTTTCTCTTCGATTTTATCGTTTTCGATAAAGCAGTGTTGCCCACGTTATTTTTTTTTTTTTTGTTTTTTATTTTTTGTTTTTTATTTCGTTTTCGGCTGCTAGGCACACCTGTATTTAAGTATTTCTTCCGCACAATCGTTGGAACGAATGCATTGTACCCGGTCTTTTGTAATATAGGCAATGTATACTGTGTGTGAATTTGTTTCTCTTTTCTTTTTTTTTTTTTTTTTTTTTTACGTATGTATACACGCGCATGTGCGTAGGATGCAGAATATTGATACGTATATATTCTGTTTTTCGGTCGGGGCAATGTGTAACCGTGGTGACTCAAGTGTGCAGCTGTAAAAAATAACAAATCTAATCAATCACAGATCGTGTGTCATGGTTTAAGAAAAAAAGTTATACAACTTTTAATAAAAAATACAGACATAGAAGAAGAAATTTACATCTATCACATTTATTTTAAAATCGTCAATTGTAAGAAACGATATTTTTTTTTTTGAAAATGTAAATGTCGAACAATCAAATTAGTGCCATAATTAGTAAAATAGATGAAAAAGTAAAATACAAATTGTCACAATAAATTATTCTTTTCTTTCGATTGTAAAATATTCTCGAAAAAAACAAGTTACAGATTGGCCAATACTGAACTTCCTATAAAATCATTTCAATAAAAAAAAAAAAGTGGTTTCAATTACTTTTAGTGTGCGCGACACACTAGAGTAGCCGTAAGTAAATCAGCGGACGACAAAACGTGGCGGCTCTCGAAATATTGTCATCCTCTTACTCTAGTTATAGTTTCGCCGAGTCACCGAGTAACCGAGTTACTCGAGAAACTCGGCCGCATACGGCGTATCGTTACTATATATCGTATCAATAAATAGTAATTAATTAGACCTCTCTGCTACCGTTACTTTGTAAGGTTTTCTTCTTTTTTTTAGTCTAGTAAACAGGTACCTACTTTACCTACGCGGTATCGTATACAGGGGTCGCGGCTCGCGATTCGATGCCGCGACGTCAGACGTCGCCTTTCACATTGCCCTGCCGATAATAAAGATAAGAAAACCATCAGGATCTTCACATGGATCTGCTATTTTTTTCTTCACTAATTATATTATTATATATACAAATGCATTATCTTGTTTGTGCCGTGTTTGTCTCTCTCTGAGACATCAGAATAAAAGTTAGAGCAACTTCGGCAATTTTTTATTGCTTGTATTTGAATGTAAAGACAATTCGCGCGGAAGAAGAAAACATTTGACAATGAGTAAAGTCCGAAGTTGCTCTAAATCTCGATTCTCGACCTGCAAACTTTTTTCTGGAACAATCAGTTAACTCGAACGCAATCGTGTAATCGTTTTAAATAATTACTTGTACCTATTAATAAATAATTTACATCGGTCTGGATGTCTTCCTGTGTGTTTCCTTTTTTTAGACTATTGTAATATGTATACATATATATATATATATATATATAACATTCTTGTGTCTCGCGTTTTTTAAGGAGTCTATCAGTCTTCACGTGGCGGAACCTATATAATCGCATATCTCACACGAAATGTTTGAAATAATAAAACGATCCCTTTTGTGCATATACTTATGGAAATCTCTTTCCAGCTGCAATTACGTAAGTAATACATTTATAATGCCTTGAACTTGGTTTTTGTTTTTTTTACATTTACATGCGTACAATAAAATACAGTTAGAGAGAGAGAGAGTGTTATATATATAAATAAAGTAAATATATAAGTATAAATACTCTATATATAGTACGCATTATACGAGAAATTTATATAGAACTTGATATTTCCACATTATCAAAAGATAAAAACCATAGCAAGCTATTTTGCAACGTATACTAGTATCTCCTGCGCATTAAAAAGAAGAGTAAAAAAGTTATCACTTCTTTTTTTTCACACATTAAAAACATTATCAATCAAAGTTTCTAAGTAGGATGAATTTTAAGTTCGGTTTAGATGATGAAGTGTAAAAAGAAATAACGTTTGCTTGATTCTTTATACATTTTATGTATATATTTGGATAGAAATACGATTACACATATACCTATAAAAGAGGTATATGTGCATCCAATGACATCTTTTTCTGAAATATGACAGGAACTTTTCGGCGCAAACATGTACTTGGACGAGATTTCGTTTATTTAACATGTTTTCGAAAACACGTTTTTTTTTCTTCTTACAATCGCGCGAATTTCGTATATCGTATATCGTATTTTAAATCACACGGAGAAATAAAACAAACATCGCGAAATTGCGTGTACTCGAAAATATGCTTTCGCGTCAATTTTTGAACGTCGCGTCGGTTTGTATCTATAAGTCAATAAAAAACAAGATGGATACGTGCGAAAGAGTTTACATCAAAATAGGATTTTGTAAATCTCTACCAATCCATGTGTGTGTATGTTAATTTTGTAGAGACATTCAAGGAAGTGTTAGAATAGTGGTACACATACAAATACCTATACAACTATCTAGTACGTTATAAAAAATATTTATTGTTTAATCAATTAAACAAACAGAAAGATCCATTTTGCGGTATATATAACATATATATCAATAAATATTACTGAACTAAATAATATCATGGTCTGAAAATTACTCGTTCGTTGACAAGCGTTTATATTACTTTTCGTTTTTTTTTTCCGCTTTGTTCTACTTATCTGGTAGCGTTTTTTTCTTTTGCAAATAGCCTAATAGAAAGATCGGACTTATGTACATTTTCGCAAGTGCCGCCGTTTTCTCGTGTATCGTGTACGCGTGAACATTAACAAATAAAAAATTAAATTGCGCGCCTCCCGTGATATATACGTGTATATGTATATATGTATGTATGTATGTATGTATGTATGTGTGTGTGTGTATGTGTGTATGTACGTTAAATGTGGCAAATATACAGTTGTGCTTTCTTTTTACGCGTAGACAAAAATTCAATTTCAAAATCACGACCGCCACTACCACACACTGCGACCGACATGCCCGGTTTACTTAACGTTACTTCTTTACTTTACGAATTAGACTTTACGCTTATCGAATATGGACTATCTTAGTGACATACTTCGTACGTACACACTGTTGTATTTTTACGTTCGGTTTTAATTCTACTTTTGCATACACTCACGGTACTTGGTTTAATTTTATGTATATCTGTAATTTTATGCGCATATATACGAGTAAAGATAAAATATATATTTTGCATTTCGTACTTCCCAGTTAATACTATGAATTTTTTTTCCCTTCTCGCGCGTTATATATAATATACATACTTTTTATCTATAATAATAGTTTATAATAGTTCGCTATCCAATAGATACAAAATTTTAGTTTTTGCTTCAATTGTGTCCGCATTCACGGCGATCGCTCACGACTACTTTTACAGCACCGAGATCCATCGTACTTTTTTTAATTTTTAAACATACACATTACTTTTTATTGCACTATTCGACTTTCATATATATATATTACAACCAAATCAATTATTTGTAGATCTTGACAAACCGATACTATATATTTCAAAAATTTACACCTTACGCGCTATAAATTTCGACAAATATTTATGTACTTTAATATAGCTCTAGATGTCAACTCGTAGTTCATTCATTTTCTCCCTCTGGTTTTGAAATGTTGGTCACAGTGTTGCAACAGTTGATATCATGACTTCAGAAGAAATACCTCCTTTGGCTCGCGAAATGCGTTTACGATTCAAATATCGTTACCTAATTCACATCAAATGTATGTCACTGATTAAAACGTATTTAAAATAAAAATAAAAAATGTATGATTTACATCTATAATAAAAATTTTAAAGTTTGTTGTAATCATGCTGAATATCGCACGTCGCACGTCTGTAAAAAGTGTTCACCTTCAATACAAGCGTGTGTATCAAAAATCAATTAAGATAAATGATATGATATATTTACGGTAGGTATATAAAAAATTTCTATGTGAGTTCAAATTGTAAGTAAAAAAATAACAATAGAATAAAATAAAAAAAATTCTTTTATTAGACACCGTGATTACTCCGGATTACGCAGACATGTCAAAACGCACGCGGCAGCGAGCGACCGCCGCAGATTTTCCGCTTTTTTTTCACACAGTTCGTTGCTCCTCAAGGACAAAGGGTTTTTCTTTTTACATAAATAAATCTCTCGAGAAGGAAAGGCTGGTCATTGGCTCGATCGACGTGCGAGCGCGAGCTGGACCATGTATTACGTATATCGGTTACAAGTTTTACGTCATTTCTCCCTTCGCTCCTCTTTCCCATTGTAATGCAAAAACGGTAAGGAGCCGAATTCTATAGTTAAACAGAACATTGGCTACCTTTAGGTGTTTTGTTTTGTTTTCAAACGCTGTTCATAACTAGAGCACGCAGTTATTAATATTGTTTATTACGTATATCATTTAATTGTTGTGTATACAAGATGTACACTAAATAATTATGTCAAATCTAAGTTTACAACACAGCACAGAATTCGCCGCGGCGGAATATATCGGCTCGTCTGACCGCATGGCCAGACTCCTGGATCTCTCCCGATACGGCGTAATCGAATCGGTTCATCGAACCAGATCAAACGATCGAGTTGACAAGTGCCCTGATACCGCTTGCCACACTTAACGCGCTTGTTTCATCAATGCAAAAAAAAAAAAAACGAATCTGACTTATTAATCACACATTTTGTCACATATTTTATCGCGTGCAGAGATAAAAAAATATCACGAAGAATAAGTAGTACGACTACCGTGTAAATATAAATTTTTAGTCTTGTCTTTAGTCTCTAAAAAATAATTTACAAAAAGGGAACGTCTTTTACATAACATTATTAATTACATTTTAACTAAAAGTATATTATTTAGTTAAAATAACTAATTAAAATATGTATAAATGTGTTCAAGATTTGTACGTACAAAACTTGTCAAAATAAAAACGCAATGTGTCACGTATGATTGTTTGGAATGATTATATACATATTTAAGTATACACAGTTATACACAATATGCGTAATACATTGAAAAATTGACTTTGGTTCAAGATATAACGCCAAGCTATCATTAAAGTGCCAAGCGGTTTCATGCCAATGACATCCTATTCCAAAATTATGCTATGTATTACATGTGGTAACTTGGCGTCATGTCGCGCGGAGCAAGAGTAATGTTTCAACTTTTTTTTCGTTTCTTGAGCTATTTTCTCATCATAAAATTTACACGGAAAATCAAAGAATTTCAATAAATACGATTATTGAATTTCTTTCTTTTCAAAAAAGCTTAAAGAGAAAATAATTTGATCCAAGATCGTAATTGTGTGTCCAGCATTCTAAAAGACATTGTGAATTATACTACAATTTGTACATTTTGATAGCAAACAGTTATTTTCTGCAAGTGTTCGAAACTGTTTTAACTCTGAAGCATGCGCATGTGTGAACACATTTAACCCTTTTCTTAGAAGGTATGTTTTGTCTCTCGTCGATGCGAATCATAATTTAAGATTCAAGTAATCCTCAATTGAACTGAATAACTGTTCAAATTCAATTGCGATCAAGCAATCATAAAAATGACACGCAAATTATTTAATAAAAAAGATAATTTCATAGACATTATCAAAAATAATGTCTATAAAATCGCACGACTTTCAAGATGCGACTACTCGAGAGTTAAATAGTGAAAATTTCGCAGCTCTGCTGAGAAATAATGTAGAACATTTATTCATATTAAAAAATATGCTAAGTTCTAAATCTATGCAACTTAAAAACTTGGCACATTATCTAGTGTTGTAAAAATATAAAAAAAAAACATACACTCATGTAAGTAGAAAATAATCGTTTACGAAATTGCGTATTTGAGCAATACAGCGCGATAAGAATGATTTTTTCCACCTTCGGTTGGTGCAGTCAGTTTTTTTTTCAATTGTACATTGTAGTTATTTTTATAGTCAAATTTTGTACAATCATCATTCTGTAAAACAAAGTGCACGAAAATATTTTGTTCGTGACCTTATATTTTCTCAAAACTCAAAGCTTATCTACTTGTCCTTATCGAATGTGGATACGACAATTCGATTAGAAGCAAATTAATTCAACTTTTTTCAAACTAACCTTGCGATGACGCTGCGCGCCGCGGTGAAGAAATGCCAAATCGATTTACCTCTGCTCCGCCGAAGGACGCTGGTTTCTTTTTTAAATTCACTTTATCATTAGCACTAATCCGTTTCATCTCCACGGTCATTCTCTGTCGCCTTTTCTTCGTACAACACATTCCAAAACATCGCCATAATTATTACATTTATACATCAAATTCACTGATTTTTTTTTTGCGGATTTAGTTTTGCACACACTTTTTTTTTTGTATATCACTGGTATCAGAATTAGATGAGAGAACTTCGTGATTTTCCGTCTTCTGCTCTGGAAAACTTATTTTTGTCGTCCACCCGCTGTATCCTGCCGTTATGCTCGGATCCTTTCTTGAAAATTTTACCATCTTCGAAAGATCACACTTGGCACGAATCAATCATAAGTATTCTTGTTGGAGCCACCGCGGTACCAAAGAAAGATCTATCTAAACAATCCTCTATAAGAACACTAAACCGCTAAATACAGACGCGACGGACATCTTCGTACTTGCTATTCTACTAATCGTTCTATGAACTCTACGTCTTTACGATGTAAGAGAATAAATAATAAAATGCTTTTCTAAGATCTCACCGCGATTTTTTTTTTCCCTGTCACACGCTCACGATTCGGATTCGCGCATCCCATTCTTTCGACAAACTTAACTCTTTATACCTATCACTCATGTGTGTATATATCACACACGATCTATTCGCATTACTACTTATCGGTCACTCGCTCCCACAATTTCACGATTAATCTACTACGTACATCTTCATCTTCCGTATATACGTCCATAGACTTTTAGTACAATTACATTCGTAATTAAACGTAATAAGAGGTTAATGCGGTTCTGATTAGCATGTGATCCAGTTTTGTTTTTATTTATACGTTTTTCTTTTCTTCTTCAAGTAAATGATCTTTGATCCACATTATATCCACGCCCGTTTCCAGTTTTGCTGACTCGTTCCTTCGTGCGTGTTCTCTTCTTCGCCGTTCTCGCCTTTCTGCGCTTTATCATAATTTTATTTTCTCATCGAGCATTTCTTTCTACGGGTCCATCTTAACAAGTTCCTCGCTTTCATCTCTATCTGCTTCGTTTTTGGTACAAGCAACATGATTAACACGACAAAATAAGCGTCATTGCTTAGAGGGGAAGAGGGAATCATTTGGAGGTCATCGATGGGAATCGGAATTTGGATAGGAAGGAGGTAGTGCTGGAAACAAGGTATTAACGACCCTGAGAGAGATGGAAAGAAAGTTCCCACTCCTCGGAGCTCTTTCAACCCTGCGGCGATGTCTGCGGCGAGATTTCAGTGTCGCCATCGCCCGAACCCGGCTCGCCTTTCGTCTTATTCTCCTTCTTCCACTTCATCCGTCTGTTTTGAAACCAGATCTTTATCTGCCGTTCCGTCAGACATAGCGCGTGCGCGATCTCGATACGCCGCCGCCTAGTGAGATATCGGTTGAAATGAAACTCCTTTTCTAGTTCTAACGTTTGGTATCGTGTGTACGTTTGCCGACCTCGTTTCCTTTCTGAAACAAAACAAATTAAGAGCTTGAATCAATACGCACAAGTTGTGTCATACACACTTGTAATACACCATTTTTATAAGCTGATAATAATCAGCCTTATGAAATATTAGAATTTACTTGCTTTATGACCGATGTCATTGGGATAAGAAAAAAAAACGTACGAAAATTTCTTTATTCCCCGTTTGTAAGATGTAAATCCTCTATACAGTTATCTAACATATTTACGAAATACCACAAAAAATTCACAGCGTGTATAATGTCGGCTCAATTGATCAGAGAAGAAGTTTCTGTACATATAAAGCTAACGCGAAACGAAAAATATATTCTCGACTAAAAAAGATCTTGAGACTGTAAGTGCAGTTCCGCATATGATAAATACCTTAGCGATATCCGCGATATGATCTGCGGTCGCAGCGCGCGGTATACATGAATCCCGAACAAGGATATTAATTATAGTTGCTAAGAGAGCGAGAAAGAGAGAAGGGGGGAGGGGAGAACGAAGAGGAAGATACCGAAGAGACAGAGTGAGTTGACTCTGTGTGAGAAGTCTCACAACTTTACGAGGTATAAACCTCAAAGGGTTAGGGTTAGCCCGCCGTACGAGTGTGAGAGAGCAAAACAGGGAATGTTTCAGAATGGTATGAGGGAAGGAAAAAGAGGAAGAAGAGACATAGGGATGAGAACTGGAAAGTTGGAAGGGGAGAGGTGAAGAAGAAGAAGAAGAGAAGAAGAAGAAGAAGAAGAAGAAGAAGAAGAAAACTCCTTGGCGAGCATTCGAGGCAAACGCCGCCCGTCGCGCTGTCGGCCGATGAAGATGGATGGCGGTTCTGCTCCGGAGAGAGATGGAGAGATCGCGTTGGTTCCTGAACCGTTCGGCTAGACGAAGACAAGAAGATGGGGAGGAAGAGAAAAAGTGCGCGTTAGAGAAAGAGAAAGGATAGAGAAAGTTGGGAGCATGCCCTCTTCTTCATTCCCTTCCTTCTCAGCTACGCTCTCAAATTAACAACATACCAATCTCTAGCGCTCTCTTATAAGCTTGGACGATTTAGGCAACTTCCTAGACTCTGTTGTTTCAAGAAGATAGTCATTTTGAAGAGATTCCGCCAAAATTATAATGAATATTGCAAAAAACATGATCGATCTGTCTCGTAAATAAACCCAGACCGTATGAAGTGTCATATTCTCGCTTTGAAGAATCGTGTATCACGCGAGCAAAGGGTCATAATTGATTGTCAAGCATATCTATGTGCCAACTGTTCTACGAAAGCTGCGTTATATTAATATTCATTCGTCACGCCGTTAATGAAGATCATGTTCCTAAAAGCTAGCAAGCATCAAAGCGTCCGAGGACTACATGAAACATAAACATGACACTGCAGTTTGGAAAGTTCCAATCTCTATTTATGTAAATAGCACTTATATTTATAACATATCTAGTAATATGCTGTGACATTATAAAAAATCAATAAATTATTACACAGTAATAATATAATCTTGTAGAGTCAGAAAAAAAAAACTTTTTGTTTATCTCGAAGTTACCTCGTGATGTCACATTTCAAGAATTTTAATAGGTATGTGTCAGCTTTAAATTCTAAATTAATACTAAAAACTGGCAGTCGCATATAATTGCACATTATTTTAGATTGTTGACAATGCGGGCGCGCATTTCCATTTAAAAGAAGCTTTTGTAACACACATGCCCATGACCATTTCGAGATAATCCCGAGCCGATGCGGCGTAATAATCAGGTTTGTTTCGAAAGGTCACTTCGCTCATAAATCCTCCCGTGCCGCTAGATGTTGCAGAGCAAAGAAATAAATTATTAAACGTTGCATCGAAGAGTCTGTATTATTTATGAGGCAAAAAACTTATAGAGTTTCCAAGCCAATCGATTCCGATCGTTGAATAGTCATATCTTCGATTAGGCGTATCCGGCTGTGAGAATTAGGCAGCGGGCACGATATTGCGTGGTGAGCACGAGATTCCTTGATGCCGAGACATGTGGGGTTAATTAAAGAGACAGCAGTACTCTCTGTGTGTTCTTGACGCGTGCACGAATATGGTTTGCATGCGTATTTCGAGCATATTCATGATTAAGAATACTTGTACAATCGTGGTATATTTGTTGCAAATAATGTGCAACTAGAGTATGTAGCAAGATAAAAAAAAAAAAAAAAAACATTGATTCAACATGAGTAGATGAAAATAGTAGATGAAAATAGGTAAGTATATATTTCACATGAGTAATCACAAATTATTGTGTTGAATTAACACTAAAGTATACTATTTTTTTTTCCTATACAAAAATAAATGAAGTTTATTTAAGTTTAATTTAGTTTTATTTTTGAAACAGAGTGTTGTTGTACAATCTCTCGCGATTAATTTATTTTAATTAATTTTACTCCGATATTTTAAAAGTTGCGTGTCATACGCACGCGCATACCATATGGGAAGGAACCTGATAATAAGAAAGTCATACCGATGGCCTAAGTTTGCGCCGGACCCGATGTAGCAGCGCTGCCACAGCTTTCGCGGACGGAGGTGACTTTAAACGCGGGGCAATAAATTAACGGCGTTGGGTTACGCAAGGATCAAATGTCCCCTGGAGTATGCTCGAGAGATTTATAGGTCTGCCTTCACTGGCGCAGCATGAAGGAACGAAACAGAACAGAACGTACACAACCGTGCGGCTTATTATAGGCTAGTTGCTCCGCATCTCCACTTCCCCTCCTGCTCGACTGGTCTTTCAGGCCCGCCGCAGGATACACGCAGGACTTTTCAGATTAACAGCTAGCCGGATGTTGTAACCCACTAATAAGGTGCGGCCACCACTCGCTGCCCAATTAAGCTAAGCTTTACGTGGGCACTATAAGACCAAGGCCTTGAAAACGCTCTTCGATTAGATATCTTAGATGTGCCATTAATTTTATTATTCGCGTTCGCGATTGGAACCTTGGAATTATATTTGTCGGATTTGAGACGGACATCCAATATTAATTGCACAGAACTTTTTGAATTTCATCGAAATGTATTTTCTCAGATTGCGCACATTCACAGAAGTGCGACAAATATCGACATTTTAACTGGATTTAATTTATTAAAATATGAACGCACATCAATGTTAAATTTTATTATGCTCGGTAACTTACTTGGCACTACGTAAACTATAGTGCCAATATAAAATTAGCAATTTAACTTTTTGTATTTCGACCAAGACTGATTAAATTCCGTAGAAAATATCGGGGTAAAAAAGAAGAACAACAGACTCGCTCACATTCATATGTAGTAGGAATTTAGAAACCCCTCAAGGAACCCCTCTCACTCCCCAAGAGTAGCTGATAGGCGGTTTTCCCTCCTTGCCTTCTCTCTCTCTCTCTCTCTCTCTCTCTCTCTCTCTCTCTCTCTCTCTCTCTTTCTCTCCCTTTTTTTTTATCTTCCAAGTAGACGAGCAGACAGCCGGACAAGAAGACGGAGTCTGAGAGAATCTCGTGAGGTAGAAGGAAGATAATGAGCAGCGAGAACGAACTCGTCGCGACATATGCGTCGGACTTTACCGGAGTTCACTCGAAAAACGCATTAAAATGTATTTTTTCACGCACCTGTTTCCCGAGATACGTATGACTGTCCCGTATAAAATACGAAATTAAATTGTAGATTTATCTAAAAGACACTTAGAGATTTTGAATTAAGTGTACTAAGTATGTTAAACGTTAAGTAAATGAATAAATCAAATTACTGTGCGATAAAACAAAAGATAAGTTTACGTTCCGAGCGTTAAATTCTAGTCAAATATCGCAAATGAGAAATTAACGTCCTCCATATCGTTCACGATTACTTCCATGGCGGAGCTCCAAAAGCAAACGGTCCCAGGATTTCTCGTAGATTCATTCATCATCATCATCCATCCCTTCTACCTCTTTCTACCGCCCTCCTCCCTCTGTCAGTCTTTCTTTCTCTTACGTGCGCTTGCGTACACATAGAAGATACACATGCCTCTTGTCTTCTATTTTTTTCTTTTAGCTCCTCCCTTCTGAACTCCATCGCTTTTTGAATATCTCACGAAGCCGCCATCATTATGGTCAGCCAATCTCTAACTGCTAGTTAAATTATAATAAAACGCATTTCAGGAGCAGAGTGTGTCGATTTTTTCTACGTATTAAAAACAGAACACAGAAGATGTTTCGCGATATTAGAGAAATATGTTCACGTAATCGGATTGTTATACAATATTTTGCTAATAATTTAGATTTATCGTCTAAAATTACCTACATATCGTGTAAGAAACGTAGTGTGCGCGAGCGTGCACATATACACGCAACATAGGTTTTACAAGTATATAAGTGTATCACGACGTTTATTTATTAAGAATACGTGGGGAAAGGAGTGGAAACATCATAAATCTTTTCACACACAGAAGATCGCAATTATCTCATGCATTAAAAGCATCGCCGGTATCGATGGTTGGTCTCTTTTTCTTGGGTCAACACTTGAGATCGGAATGTTCAACGGTGTTGCAATGCAGCGAGGTATCACGATCGTCGTTATCAAAAAAATAAGAAAAAGATGTATATCGAAATCATTTTGTCTTATCACTTTTAGAGAAAAGTGTTTCTTTGTAAACCAATTTCAGTTTAAATATAAGTGCAAATATATTCTGCTACATAAAATTACAAAACAAAATAGAGATTAATAATATACAAACTTTGTTTAAATTTAAACTGGAAATGTTTACTGTAAATGAATTAAGATACTTGTCAAAATTCTTATAATTATTACTTATAAAAAATGTTGACTTTGTAACAAAAACAAACAACAAAAAACTTTTATTTTATATTTTAATATGCTTTTTTTTTAAGTTCAGTAAAATGTATGTATCACATAACGACTATACAATACTTTTTCCTTTATTTCTGTAAATATTATTAAATATATTTTATTTGATATAGTATTCTAAGTATATTTTATTTTATATATAATATGAACTTTTTGATATAAAAGCAAATTTTAACAAATTTAGATATATTATTGTATATTTATAAGAATAGGTATATACACTTAAAAAAAAATTAGTTTTTTAACAAAGTTAATGACACGAAAAAATAAGACAGAGCATTCTTAAACGTGCCGACATCTGTGAGCACATTCAGGGACTCGAAACGTTTTCTTCGTTTAACTGGCAGTAAACTACAAGGCATAACCGTCCGTGTTTATCGGCTCAGAGATACTCGAGATCAGCTTCTGAACCTAACCGAAAGATGGTATGAGAGAAATCATCGCGATACGAAGGAAGATATCAAACTTTTGATATTTTTTATAAATAAAAATCTGTATAAAATACGTACAAAAATATCCATAAATATACGTAAAAATATACATATAATTGCATATATAAGAATAAATCATATTTTTTTATTTTATAATTATAATATTTTATTTTTATAATACTTTTATATTTTATAATTTATTTTATGTTATTCTAATATAAAAGTATGTATAGAAAAATATATATTAAATAGAACAGTTGTAATTTACAAAAACAATAATTGTAATAAATTTCAACATTCAAATATGTTATTGAGACACGTTTCTTGAATAATTTTTATTTTGAGGGAGAAAATATATACGTTACTTACTTTAAAAAAAATCTTTTATAATTCTTATTACAAAACAATTATTTGCGTCATTTTCACTATCATGCTAACATGTGTTTATCTTCGATAAGCAAAATACAAGAAGATAGTTTTGCTACGAAAAAAATGATTGAGAAGAGTAAGAATAGTTTGTCATATTTTAGTGTCAAATAGATGTATGTTTGTAGATTATTATATCGTATTATATATGTTCTCCGGTAGCAGAAACCATAGATAGACAAATGAAGAAACAAGGCTGTAAAATCGACAACGTAAAAAATCAGCAGGGTTCCGTAACCTTCTGCTCGTGATATTTCTTTTACGCTAAGCGGTGGTGTAACTCTATTGTCACTTCATTCATTATCCATCATCAGTCGTCCGAAGTGTTGAGTAATGTAAGATCTGTCAAAGCACTGTCAAACGTGTGTGTAAACTCTATCGTTTGAATAAACAAAAATCTACTGTATTACTTAAGTGTATAGATTTGGATATCGGAACTTAAATCAAATCACATGATAAAGCGTACCTAATAAATAATATAATTGTGAAACGTAATAAATCGCGCGAAACAATTCTTCATTAGAAAAAGATATTAACTTTGCTATCTACCAGCGTAATATAATGTCGTGATGATAACAAGTGCGACCAATTGAACCAGCGAGGCTGACAATGAATTATCCCACGAATAAAATTGGATATGTCGACTTTGCGAGTTCAAGTGCCAACTAACATGTAGGAGAAAAGAACAAAAGATAGCGCTCATTGTGACTTGGCCGAAGCCGAGCGAGCGGTGAAACCTAGTGGACGGGCTAAAAGGTCAGCACAATAAATAACTCCGTTCGCGGCATATCTGGAGACATTGTGCCAATTTCGGAGTCGGCTGTTGTACGAATTTGGTCTAGTTTTGTGCGCCGTTGCATAAATCCAAAAGTTGGACATCTGCTACCTGAGATGCCTGACTAGAAACTTAGCTTTCTAAAAGACTTTTTGGTCGCGCGCCGAGTGAAATCTGTCTATTCTTAGAAACGGCACATCGTCGTATTCAATTTCACCTACGGGAGTTCGCACGATAACTGTGCGATTCTTGAAAGTTCGACAAATATTTTAATATATTTTTTATTTACACTTATCAAATGTATCTCGCGATAGATATTAATCTTGCGTATTAATTTCTCATCAACATCAGCATTCTAACAATGTTTGTTTTATTGACAATGTAAAACAAAATAAAACGCTTTATAATTCTGTTACACTTACCGAATTGACTCCTCATCCATGGATATAATGGGCTCGGTAAATTTGAGGTAGCCGCACCCTGAGGTGTACCTTGCTGCTGTTGACTGAGCGATGATGCAACGACGCCTTGATGCTGTTGAGCCTGCTGCTGTTGCTGAGGGTGCATTCCACCTTGTCCTTGTTGCGACGCGGTTTGTGATTGCTGCGGTTGCTGATACATCATATGTTGCTGCTGCGCCTGCAGATGCTGATGCTGCGATTGCTGTTGCGGATGCTGCGATTGCTGCGTCTGCATGTGCGGGTGCTGGCTGTGCATTTGGTGATGCATCTGCGACTCGACGAGAGGCGGACTGTCCGGCCCGTCAAGAACGCTACCTTGATGATCGACAGCAGCCGCTTGAAGTTTGCAACTGGCATAGACAATGGGAGTGGACGGATGTCCGTTAGGGGTTGGTGTGTGTCCCATGTGACCCATAGTGGCGTTCGGGGACGTCGACCTGTAACCGGCCATACCGTCCATACTTCCGTGTTCCTGTTGATGCTGATAGTAAGCCGCATTTCGCATGTCGATCCGGTTGTACGGGGGAAACCTCGGATAAGGCATGTCTTGCTGACCTCCCGTGGTTCCATAATGGTGGGCGGATACTCCTTGACGTAACAAACTCGGATCGCATGGATCACTGGCTTGCTGGGACTGTTGCTGGACCGATTGTGTCTGCTGAGGTACCTGTACGGCCGCACCGTAGTGCTGCTGATGCTGATGCGGGTGTTCCACCCCGCCATTTCGCAGGTCCGGGATGTACGAATTCGCGAAATACGAACTCATGCTACTGTCCCACCTGTCCCACCTGCTAATGCCACTTCTCTACGTTGCTGCTGACTGGCTTTCCTTTGGTTACCCGCGGCTGTTTTTATGAATATTTTTCTTTGTAAATTTACTTTGCTTTGTACTCTTCGTGCGGACACACTGGCACACGTCTTTACATAGATACAGATTTATCACTCCGAGATTGCATTACTTCACGAATCTTTTTTTTATTATTATTATTTTTCTTTTTTAATTTCTTTCTCACTCAATTCTTCTCATTTCACGCACTCTTGGACAGCACAAGCACACGTATATAATATCAAATTACCATCATTGTGGATCACATATACTTCATTTGACTTTTTTTTTTTTATCACACTGGGCTCACTACCGAAAGAGGATAAAATTATAAACTGGAGCACTACAGAACCTTTTAGCAAGTGGAGAGAGAGGGGAGAGTATACCGCGTATACAAGGTGGTGGCAAAAGATAGTAATCAGAGTCCTTCGTCTTTCCCGGTGTGACACCTTCGTTCAAAGCGCCAAGCCACTCCAGACCCGTTTCGTTCCTCTGTCCACCCTACAATCAACGTTATACCGCACCTGTAACATAAAAGGAAGCGACGCGTTATATTACATTGCTATGCATTTTTATAAGTTGTTCATTTCGTGACATATTACGCGCGCAAAATATATAAAATATATCGTAAAAAACTTTTTACATAAATATATGATGAGCTGTAAGATTTGTGATAAAACATTACGATATAAAGGGTGTTTGTAGCGGCCAAATACGAATAACATTTATTCTTATGGAAGTAGCGTTAGTACCGTTAACGGTAGTATCTCAAAGGTTCCACGCAGAATTTAAACATACACCGTCGTGAACGCAACTAAAAGCTTACTTTGCATGATCTTTGTCAAGCGAACTGAATGAACTGAGCGGAGTTTAGCTCTGAATGACAGAAGGCAAGTTACACATGTGCTCGTCACGGTGACGGCCATCGCACAGACGCCAAACTTATTACTCGAGTTCTGTGTGTGGGCGGGCTAAGCGATCGTTAAATTTGGAAAAATTTCCATCCATTAGAGAGAGAGGCAACATGGCCACTTCCCACCAAAACCTACCCTTCGCATTAATCTTTTTTTCGGAAGCTGTGTGAAGTGTGTGTCGTATAAAATTAGTGGGATGGGCGCAAATTATTCATACTTAAACTAAATATACACGTGTAAAACTGACTAACATACACACATAAATGATAAAAATTTAATCAAATTTTTTACACATCTAATCACATACTTTCAATTTCGATTCATCATCAATTGAAAATATGAAGAAAACACGCACATATAATAATAAGATAATAATGTCATCAGTTAAGTGACATTAAAGATCTATAAAAATTTAATAATTTGTGGTTCTCCCTTGTTTTAAAGCATGTATCATGTAACAATTATAAATTATATAATTTTACAAGATTATGTCTTTAACAATAAAAAAAGAAGATTATTTTGAAGTACTTTAAATAAGAAATGTCATAATTGACACCATAATTACAGTGCAAGATGGTATATTTGTTTCTTATCGACTGAAGACGTTAAAGGGTTTCTTTCCGCCTTTACAGGTCGATCTGCCGATTCGAGAGATCGAAACCTTCTATACCGACTGTATTTGACGTCCCAAAATTCTACTTTTTCTTCAAATATAAAACTTTTTAATTTTTATATCTTTTTACACTTTTTCAGTGCTTTTAACTTTTTTAACTAACTAATGATAGAAAAATATTCAAAACTTGTAACTAACATAAGTTTAGAAAACATTACGTGTCATTTGTTCAAAGTGCGAAAACTTTAATTCTGCTTCAAGTATAAAATCAGGATAAGTTTTTCAAAGTGTTAACAAGCGGCGAAATAAAAAAAATCATATATAATTTATTAAAACAGCATCACGTTTCTGTTTTAATTTTTAAAAAAACTTTGTTTCATCGCCCGAAATAGAAATATGTACAATATATTGATTTTTTTGTATGTGACATGACAATGTGGGTGGCACTAGACATAGGCAGCGCAGCGGGGTAAAGAGTGTGTGAGAGGGTGTGAGGCGCGACCCTTGGGAGTTTGCTGTACACGAGAACGGGTCGGACGCGGGACGATCGCGATTAACATTCCGGCCGCTAGCTTGCTGTTCGCGCGGCGCTTTCATTAATTCCAGCGTATTGATTCCACGGATTGATGAATGGCCGCCGATAGCGATTCCACGCGCTTACTGCCCCTTCCTTTCTCTCCTCGTCTCCCTCGCGTATAAATTCAACCTCTCGCAGGATTTGAACTCAATTCCCGCCCCGTAAATTCCCCTTTATGTATCCTCCTCTGAAGTGCAAGTATCTGAATACTATTGATGCGGACAACGTACTTTTCGCAGCTTCACACCCTCTGCCGAATGCATCTCTTCTCCGATTTAACGAAGAATACGCAAAATTAAGTACCGTTTATTCTCCGGAATAATTACCGTGGGAGTTACAAATTGTTAATAAAATATATATCAATTATTACAGCTCTCTCTTTTAATTGGAGTATTGCAACAGAGATAAGAAACATTACATTTCTCACATAATTTTTCTTCATTTTTTTGCATGTAAAATATACCACTGCAATTATTCTATATATAGCGGAACATTCGATTAGCAGGAGACACAATTTTGATTGGAAATCAGTATAGATTTTAGAACAAGAAACCAACTATTACAAGCGTTTGATTGAAACTAGAGGTTTTAGTTGTCTTTTAGTTTGACCCCTATGTAGTTGGAATTATTCTTTTTCTAAGCTTAGAAGTGGAACGTGAAAATAGAATTTAAATTTCATTTGACAGTGACATCGACCGGAAAGATCACAAACCAAATGACTATTTTAAGGGTCTATGAAGTGCATAATATTGCCGATAGATGGCGATGGTGATAGCACAGAAGAAGAGGAAAAAACGGGGTGGAGCGTGTCTGACAGTTGGGTGGGTTCGGGGCCAAGGTGATTGAAAACAGGGTGGAGCGTCATGTGACGCCATGGTTGGATATGGAAGTGACGTCACATAACTACGATGGCCTCTAGTTAGGCAAAATGGCCCCGGAATAAGAGTTTCTTTGTTGTCTCAGTCTCTTATCTATTACTTCAATATATTAACAATGGATGAAGCACAGTGCCTGCTATCACGTAAATTGTCATTCCGAAAGAAGCAAATGTTTCGGTGCTTCACTGTGTCGTTCCTTTGATCAATAAATAAAAAATATACAGGGTGTCCCAGAATTGGTGTAACATCTCTCGAAAACAAATAGAAGAAGTAAAACTGAGTCAAAAAGTTTTATACCATTTTGCTAGATTCGCAATAGTTACCGAGATCTTAATTAACAAAGATCAGCGAATAAGCATGCATCGGGCTGTCTTACTTGCTTAAGACAGCCCAGTGCGCTTCGCGCGCTTACGGTGTTACCCGTAGGAGCATATGGGAGGAGCTAATATAACAGCATGTACTATACCATATACATATTAAAATGTAATTGTGCGAAGCGCCGGGCTGTCCTAAGATAGCCCGATGCATGCTTATTCGCTGATCTTTGTTAATTAAGATCTCGGTAACTATTGCGAATCTAGCAAAATGGTATAAAACTTTTTGACTCAGTTTTACTCCTTCTATTTGTTCACGAGAGATGTTACACCAATTCTGGGACACCCTGTATATTGTTCAATTACAAAAAATGAAATAAAGAAATAATAATAATTAAAAACATTTAAAATATAATTGAAAACACCAAAAATAATCATGTGACAAAATAACTAATAGTTTAATTCTCGATCTTTGTGTATGAAATTAAATGATGTGGAAAACCCGTTTTATAATAATACAGTTTTAATTTAAAAAACAATAAAATTAAGATTTTATATCTATTGTTATTTTTGTTCAATAAATATAGAAAGAAAAAATAGAAAAAATATTGAGCTATCTGCAGACATCATCAGTTTACGTACATAAGACGTTCCGATGAAATAAGTGACGTTCTCACAGTCAGCTGAATCCCCAAAGATAGGGCCATAAATGGCACTTGCATTTGACAGTTATGGAACTCGTAGCTCGCGTCGGTCGTTCGCACCTCGTAAAGCAGTCGTAAACTAAGCGTGCCGTAAACTGAACGCACTTATGCCGCAACGTATAGCGATAACGTTTGTGTGTAAAAGTTATGAGGCTCTTGACCTTGCACTATGTAACACTTTGTAGCTTAAGTTGACAGTCCCTTAATACAATCATCTTCACGCTACATTATTTTTAAAAAATGCAAACTTAAAAACAATAATGCGTTTTCTAAACAAAATAAACGTGTAGAGTTAATCTGGAACGTTTGTAATGTAATTACTTAATAATTTGATTAATAATTAATAATTTGTATAATACTTAATCATTTGATTAATACGTAACAGAAATGTTGTTATTCGCGATCGAAATTCGTGCAATACATACGTCTTTTTATTTTATCGCACAAGAAAAAAAAGTTGTTAATGTGTGATAACTACATACATATTGTTATACTATAGTTCGTACTCTATAAAAAATAATGATAACCTGTGAAATCGGCGTTAAGTGGATGCAGTAATGACTATCATTACGTACAATGTATAATTTAGAACAAGATAGAGTTCACCGAAAACAAAACACCGAGACAATTAATATAAAGTAATTGAATCGAAACTGATGCATACATATTTATGAGATATCACACGATTTCGTATTTTATTACATAAAATGAGCTATTCTACAGAAGCATGACAATAGTTTTTTTTCATCTCCGCATTATTCTGTAACCGAATTTGTTATATATGTGTATGTATTACTGTCGTATGATTTATTCGCCTGGCGGAAGTTCTCAGGCATTAAAGCTGTCCGGCCTAGCGGCTATTATACAATAAATTTACATTTTAACATGTTATTAGTACATATATCACAATTTTTAATGATATCGAAAATTATGTATATAACAAAGATAAATGTATTGTTATTTAATTATTTGAATAATATCCGCATTTCTCGTGTTGTATTGTTTTAAAATGCAGTATCAATTTGTTAATAATTATACGAAAGTTAAATATTGAGTTTTCAAAAACATTGATATAAATTTTATCTTCGGAATAGAGTTAAAAATAATGAGAGATATAAATAATGTAATGTCTTTTTTATTTTAACACATATAATATATTTATATGTATGTTTTCTGAGAATGTCCACGTACAATTGAAAACAATGATGTGTCGACGAAAATATATTGAATAATGCATAAATATTGTAGAAGAAATATAAAGAATATATTGAATAGAGAATTGCACTCTGAATTCAGCGGCAAAGGCGATCGCACACGACGAGAGGCACCTCGGAAATACCGTTACGCGCATTAGAAGATCTCCAGTTGGCGGGAGGTCGAGGCGGCATTAAAGGGTATTCGCGCGCGATCAAAGATTCCAGCGCACTTGGGCGGCATCAGTATCCTGATTCCTAGCCGTGTGTTGATTCCGCGTGTGAGTTCTGTATAACGTGCTGTTCACGTGTTTGTGTACGCACGTACAGA